GGAAAACAAAGGGTCTATTTGTGCAGCAATTTTTTATAATTGCCATTCCCAATAATAATATTTTATATCTCTTACACAATTATCATACCACCCACAAAAGAAAATTCAAAAAAAATTAAACACTTGTTACAAAATAATAATAATAATAATAATAATAATTAATTATTCAATTTAAAAATATTATATTTTATATTTTTAACATAATTTTTTATGCCATATAAAAAAAAATCAATCCACGAACAAATGATGGGTGAGCGGAGCCAAAAGGTTGTATATGGGATTGTGTGTGAATGCTACATGTTTTTATTACAGCCAAAATTTTAAAGAAGGGCTCAGCACCATGCTCTGGATCATTCATTATGGTAGATTTTTTTATTTAAATTTTTATTAAAATCAATAAAGAATTTTCCTTGCAATAAAAGAGAACTTTCAAATTTATCAAAATTAAATAGTTTTAAAAACTAATTTCAAGTTTATTTCTGGAAAAATCTTTTCTTACTTGGAACAATTATTTAAAAAACCCAACAATCACACGCTGGACTCCCGCTACCGCCACCGCCACCGCCACCGCCACCGTCCCTGCCACTGCGACTGCTGAATTACGAATTAGTACATTAGATGCATTGCATTACAGCAGTTCCTTCTGGGCCTGCAGTCTTTGAATTGTATTGCATTGTATGTGTGTTTGTAGCGAATGAGTCACTCACAGAAAGGGGCCGACAAATTTGTTTGGAATGAAATCAGAAACCACCAAACCCAAAACAAATATCACTGCTAAAAACCACACCTCAAATTCCTAACAAACAACAAACGTGTCGAGATCTGTCTTCTCCCAAACCCCACCCTCACGTGTCGCCCATCAGATCACACTCCCACATTCACATTCACAGTCACAGGCACCGCGTGACTCACCCGTCCATCCATCCTTGTTTTTTTTTTTTTTTTCTCTCTTAAATTTCTACCCATCCTTCCGCTCCATCGGAGAAATTCAATTTCACAGAGTTTGTGTGCAACTGTCGAGCGGCGATGGGGTGGTGGCAGAAGCTACTTTTCCCGGCGAGGAGAGTTTGGTCGGCTGTTTCCGCGCGCCTCAAGCCTCGCAACAATGGTAATTCTTCATCTTCATCTTCATCTTCCTTTTTTTTTCAAATGTTTATTCAATTTCAGCGTTTCATCTCTGTGCTGGGTTCAAACCACATTTCCTCATTTGTTTGCTTGCTCATTATTGTTCATCATTATATGACGATTATATATGTGTGCGTTTGTTTTGATTGATTAGAAACAGCGAATTTGGGGATTAATTGTTGAAGTTGAACCATAATTTCTGCAATTTATATATATCCTCTGATACAGAGATGAATATATAAATAAAAACGAAATTTAGAGCAAAATAAAATGCCATTGTTAGGAATAGGAGCATTTTAGTGGATCAATGATAGAGTTCTGGTGGGATGTAATTTATGTCATTGGGAAAACACAGATACAGTTTTTTTCTAGAGATGATTGAGATTTATTCAAGAAGATAAAAGTATAGATCCATTAATCCAGTGAAATTGTATTCAATTTTAAATAGTTTAAAGTGAAATAAATAAATAATTAGTGGACTGGAGAATAAAGGATGTCCTTTTCTTTTGAAAGTTCCTAAGCCGAAAGCCAGTCTTGACTCTTGATTGCTCCTATTTTATTACTCTAATTTAATGTTACTGCCAAACATATTTCTTAATTGAATTCCTGTGACAAATAATGTTCAAAATAGTCACCTGTAATTTAGAAACTTAAGCAAAGTATTTCATCCTGACATGTAGTTACCCTTTTCATCTAAGTTTGTGAAATTTGGAAGAAAAGAAAAAAAAATAAATTAAAATTGTATTTGTTAAAAAAATAGGCATAATTTTATTCTTTTCTGTATTCATTCATTCTTTCAAATGAAATAAAGGTTATCCTAGCTTCTTTTTACTGTAAATTCTTTGTTCCCAAGCTAGGTTCTTTTCTTTTTATTATTATTATTTTTTTTCATATTCAAATGATAAATGAAGAAGCATTTGCCTTTAACTACTTTTGGAGTGATAATCCTAACTGTAACACCGAGCTTTTCTTGCACTGAATCAGGTATGTTATGTGATAATTCAACATAAAACATTTTTAGTACTCTTTTATCCACACGAAAAGCCTTAACTACTTTGTTTACGTAAGTGTATTTGGAAGTTTTGAAGCTTTGGATAATTTTAGAAGTAATCAAAAATTGAATATTTGAAGTGATGGTTTTTGAGAAGAAACATGTATTTAATTTGATATTCTTTCAAAAAGTTATTATTGATGAATCCTGATAAAACTTACAAAAGTTTATATTTAAATAGGAACATGTGTTCTTTTTTTTTTTTTTTTTTTTTTTTATATAGTTTTGGGTAGGTGGTGGTTAGGGTATTTGCAAATGTGCAGATACTTCAGAACTGAACCGAACAAATACTCAAAATTGTGAACCGTGTTCGAATAGAAGTTTTTGATTAATCGATATTTATAGTATTTGCAAATAATTTGAATTGAACCGAAATTTAAAAAATACATTAAACATAATTAAAATTTCAATTAAATAAAACATTTGCAAATATTCCAAACCAAACCGAATCAAAACCAAATATAATGTAATTATTAATATTAAATGTAAAATATAATAATATAAATATATAAATATATTAGGTTCGATAAATCAAAAGAAATATAAAAAACCGAAATTAAACCAAACAAATATCAAATATATAGATTTGTATTCGAATCGAATTTGCTCAGTTAACTAAAAATTCGATTCGATTTTTTTGTCCAACCCTAGTTTTAGGCTCTCAAATGACAAATTGATGATAAGTAGTCTGTTTCGACGGTCTTCATTATACCACCGGTTATATTTCCGTAAGCATACGTACCTTGAGAAATTTTGTAGAGGGCAAACTAATTCAAACCAAGCACACATAAATTTGAAGTTATTTTGCAATATTATTTTAAGGTGAACAAAGCTAAACCTCAAGTAAACAAGATATGCAGGCGTACCTTAAGACATATTTAGTGCTTTTGAGTTGTGAAATGTGTATTGTCCCTCTCTTCAAATTACAATGTGTCAATGTAGTTTTATTTTTCTGTATTTTTTTCAAGTGCCTATGAATGAAACACATTACTCTCTACTTCGGTAGTTTCTTATACTCACTAATAAGCATAATTTGATAAAACTTTATATAATATTTAGAATCGATAGACTTATTTATGGACTTTCGAAAGGCTGGATGATTTTTATGAAAAAAAATTCTATTTACTTGGAGTATGGTTTCAGATTTTTTACTGTGCAACTCTCATGAGTTCTCTAGAAATATATTATTTCATTTCACATAACATTATAACCACGCTATTATTCAAACAAAAATCAAAACACAAAGCCAAACCTCAAGTAAACAAACCCTTAATCTCCTATTAGAACATCTTATGAAGTAAATTAATATATATCGAAAGATAAGAGAAAGAGAAAGATTAATCTGAGGTATAGTTCAACTTGTCAGTTGATCATGCAACACTCATATGCAAAAGTTAACCTTAAAGCAAACTATGAAATGTGTTAAAATATATTTAGAAGCAATATATTATATTTATGGTAGTTGTCTTATTTAAGAAATTCGTAGGATTTTTGCCTTATTTAGACGATTTGTATATCATTATAAATATGTAAGTATTCTTATGATTGAAATAGAAAATTCCAATTTCTTATTCTAGCAAAATGAAATAGTTGAACCAGAAACGAAATTAATTGAAAGAATGTGCTCTACTTAGATTTCATCTGAATTCCAGTGCTCATCTTTCTGTGTATTTTCTCTGCTTCAACCTGAATTGTCATTTTCTTGTGTGTATTTTGGCTTCTTCGTCGTTCCTCAGGTGGGGAGCATTTAAAACTTCATGATGACATTCAGACCTGCGGATACGAAGATGTGCAGATTATGTGGGAAATGCTTAGGAGGACAGAAGTGGAAGTTCCAGCTACGTGCAAGTGCGACAACAAACTCAAGCTCAAGCAAAGATGGTCCTCGACAAACTTGCCCGCATTTTCCACAAACGGCCATGGCGATGCATGACAAACTACCTTCTGCCTGCCACATTTGTGGGCACCCCGCCACGCCCCGCCCCACCGGTCACATAAATCTGTTTCATGGAAAGTTGGCTTGATTGGTAGGTAGGTATTGTGCAGAAATCGGGGCAAGAAAATCCCTTAGGTCAGCCACCTGAAATATATATATATATATATTATATGTATGTATATATTATATCCCCCCATGCCATGCATATCTCTTGCTCTCTCTGTTCGCTTCATTGTCTGTCTGTCTCAGTTTTAGTTTTTAGTGATTTCGAAATGGAGTTAAGTGGTCCTTTGTAAATATGTAAGTTGGGATGGGTGACTTGTACTTGAAACATAACTATCCATACTTATGGCTGAAACCATCCCATCCCATCCCACCCCACCCCAATTTTCAGTCCCATGGTACTAAGACAAGAATTGTAATACTTTTAGAATGAATAAAATCAGTCGTTGATAGCAGAATTTTGGACAGGTGAGGTGGGAAGTGCGATCTAATAATTCGATCATTTGTTTTCTTCCATTTTATTAATGTTAACTTCCAAAAAAATTAATATAGAAAAATATAATTGGTTAAATGATTAAACTGGATAAATTTTAACCGACCGTTTAACTAAAAATTACACCACTGTCATTTCAAAGCCAGCCGCCCACTTTCTTTCTTCTTTGTCTGTTCATTTAATGCTTTCAATTATTATACTACATACATATGCAATCAAACATATATATATATATATATTTAACACTTACCTATATAATTATACATTATATTATATTTATCATATAACACTCGAAAACTTGATACTTTTTTAGTGTACAAAAAAAAATGATAATGAGTAATATTAATTATATTGCTTTTAATAAATACAGTATTTCTTTCAAGCTGAAATCAGATCATACATGAACCGGGCGGGGCAAGCGGGTGAGGGTCACAGTTACAGGTGAGGAATGATTTGAATCACATTTAGTGGGGCGGTTGTCAACCGTCGTCTTCTTCTCAACAACTGTTGACTCGGCCGACCAAGCAAGATTCACCGCGTCGCTGAAAACCAGGGAAATCCATAGAAATGGCCGCTGATGAGCATGATGATGATTGTGGTCGAGACGAAGAACATCAGCCTTTCACGTTTCAAGTACTCTCTCTCTCTTTTCCTTTTATACCGCTTCACCTTTTTCCCTATTTAATCATTACATTCGCTCGCACATACAGGGCAAAAAGTATGCTGCGCCGTACACATTATGCGAATGTATATAATTAGCAATGCGTCTAGATCTGGAGTACCCATTTTACCTTCATTTTGCTTTTGGATGTTATCTAGAATTTAATATCAAATTGGAGAATTGTGCCAGAGAAATTGGATATTAGGGTATTGTTTGTAGATATACGCCGCGCAAGCAAATATTTACATATATATATATACATTCTCTATGCAGAAAGATGAGGAAGACAGAGATTTTGACCTGGCCACCGCAGAGCCAGACGCCCCTTTGCCTCTCACTGTCACGTCTAGGGTACATCGGCTGTTCTAGATTTCTCATTTGCTGACATGTCTTTTATTTGGTTTTAAGATTATTGAGATGGAAACGATGGGGGAATCATGCAATTTGGTAAATGCAGGTTCTGTACATGTTGGGGGACATAACTGCAGGGCCGGCATACCGTTTTGCCCAATGGCTTGAGCTGGTCCGCAAGCGTAGCAGCAAGTATAGGGCTTCAGGGTTCCCTCGTCGACCTCATCACACTGAGAGTTTGCCTTTGAGGTTGAATGCTTAATCATGTGTGGTCATGTTGATTGAGAAAAAAGGTTTTACAACTGAAATAGCATTGAAAGCCTTGACAATTGGATGATTTATGCTTGCATAACTCAATTTAATATAGCATTCAATATCTTATATTTTAATTTGGACTTTTGGAATTGTGTCGTATTGAGCTTTATGTACGGCTGTGGAAATATAAGAATGTTTTCATTTCAGCTGGTGAATATGCTGGATTTGATAGGAAGTAACACTAAAATAGAGGATATCAATCTAATGATATTAGTCCATTAAGTTCACTCTTGGTTTTGAGGAGGCTTACAAAATTTTCTTGTTTCAATTCATTTCAACTCTCACCTAGAGCTGACAATTAGTAACGGATGGGGTGGTATATGATTTTCACTTGTATTGTGCACGGATCAAACCAGAGTCTAAAGAAATTTCCATTTATTAAGAAATCTGATCAGATAATACATTACTTTTGTTTTGATCAATCCAAGTATCTACCCTGACATTTAAGTTAACAAAGGAGGCTCTCACGTGCTTATTCTCTAACTGCGAGACTTCTTTTCTGTTTGAGAAAAATCAGTGTGTTGACAAGTTTTATAGCTATTCCACCTTTACAAGAATAAATTCATTTTTGTAGAATTGTCAAAAGTTTTGGAAGATGAATATTTCCATTTAAAAGTGGTTGACTTCCTACCCTGCTTGGCAATGACTTAGGCCGACTGATTCTAATGTAAGTAAGGTCTACATCAACTTAATGAAAAGGCATGTCAAAGGAATAATTCTAGGCATACTTCTGCCTTTCCTAACTATCCTTAAAATTTCCTATCTAAGTCTACACTAATGTTTGAACTTAAAATTACTATCAGCTTCTATTGTTGACATCATAGACTAGTGCGAGACTTAAGTACAGAAATGAATGTATCATATCATGAATTGAATTCCTTTAGAAAATACATGTTGGCATCCAATAACAGATTATTGGCAATGTTTATCATATCATAAGAATGTTATTTTATTTATTTTTAATACTTATGGTGATGCGGGAAGAGAAAAGTAAATACAGCTTGTTGATTTATTGGTTTTCTTTTTCCAGCTTGGAAGAATTCAATATTGATGCAAAAACTGCTCGACCTGAACAATCAGAAATCAGCTTGTGGGAAAGACTTGGTAAAGCTGACATGTTGGATGTACAATCAAATACCTTCTCCTGGAGCACTCTGTCTTCTCTTCATCATACTGAGCACAGCAGCAGTATTGAGCATTCTGAGGATGAGATGAATAAAGCACTGGAGGTTTCTTGCTTTTTGTCTCCTCATGTCTTTCACTGCATAAGAAATTTGTTGTAGCTGTTGAATTGTGAAGTGATTACATGCAAAGTTCTCAATGTTGACAAGGCACACTATTTAGAAAAATATTTGGCTCCAGAGTTATCCAAGTTTGCAATCAGATAAAACTAATTTCTTTTAGGAAGATCTAGTCATATCAAACATTAATTCTATACTATCTAGCAGATTTGTCCATGATGATTTGACAATTTACTACAAGCCTTAAGGTTTTCATCTAGTCTTCTATAACAATAATAAAATGAAGAGTTTTGGATGTATATAAATATATTTGTTTATTGAAGAGAGATAGAAATAGAAGATTTTGAGTGGACCCACATGATGTAATAGTTGGAAAAGAAAATTGGGAAGCATAGTGCCAACTTGAACTGAATCGGTAACCAAAAATACCCAATCTTATGTTTTTCCTGATCTACTTCCAAATATTAGAAATTCAGCTTGCCTAAGTTCTCAGTTGCCCATTTGCCAGGTGAATATTGTCCTTGTAAAATCATTATGGTGTTCCAATTATTTTATATTGATCAGAGCTTATATAATATATCTTCAAGTGCAAGGTTTCAATATTTTTGTTGGTGAGTTAGGTCTTTTATGCTGAATCAATTTTATCTTTGAATGTAGATTGTTTCTTTTATAAATAAATTAACAAATATATATATATATATATTGTTTTCCTTTAATGGTTTTATCCTCCTAAATTCATTTTGTTTTGTTTTGGTTCTCTCAAACATCAATTTGCTGTACTATACTGGTGCAGGTCACTGTTAATTCGGGTGGTGTTGTGTTCTTTGCTCTATTTAACCAACCACCAGAAAGTGATGAGTCTTCTCCTAAGGAAGCTGCAGCTGTCATAAAGTTTTCATCGTCAAGGATGGCCACCCAGTCCGAGCGACTTGGCTATGAATTTGCTAAGTGGCTAGGTGTCCAAACTCCACAAGTTGTACCTTCTTACTTCATAAGATGCATGCTTCTATTTGCCTATTGAAAGGTTAAAATCAGAAAATTATATGACAAATGCAGGCTAGAGTCATCCACAATACAAGTCCCGAGTGGCTGCAAATTAAGGAGGCTGCAGAAAAGGCAAGAGATTCTGCTATTGCAGAAGGAGATGAAATTGGTGAAATGACTTGTTCAGAGCTTCTTGAAGCTCTAGAGCTTAGTCGCTGCCTTCTATTGATGGAGTATGTAGTTTTCACTTTCTTAACCTAGTTTTGAACTACATAGATGTTGAGCTTATTGAGTAATATACTTTATATCTAGACTTAGTGCTCAAATTGGAGGTTCTGTATTGTTATGAATTTTTTGGTCCGTGCCAGTACTTTTGCTGGTGACAACATAAGCTGTTTCTTAATCGTTATCATTTCATCAAAGTTCTTGAGTAGACTGCAATGAGTTAATTATTATCTTGAGAACCCTTCTATTTACAATCATGTAATAATCTGTACTACTATTATTTATGAAGTTTTTTATTGGTGTTTTTATCCTGTTTTCAAATAATTTGCATAAGTTAGACACGATTACAGTGAGTTAGATATTTCATTGCCATCCCTAACAAAATTCTCCAATAAACAGCATGGTAATATTTTACTGTACTTTTTGTAGGGTCATCAATTAATAAAGTTATCTATAGTTATTCAATCAAAACACAGAAGGCAAAATTGTGTTTGCAAATGATTTTGTGCAAAATGTTGATCTGTACGTGATTAAGTTATATCCGAGATTGTTAGTTGGGTCAATCACATTGTCTTCTATACACAAATGATAAACCATACATCTGCTATGAAATAGTAGCACGATAATTTGCTTGAGCTGATGAACTTGCTATTGCAGCTATGTGCATGGATCTCCCTTAATGGAAAGCTCAAGTGCTTTTGAGTCACGAGAGGTCTCAGAGAAGACAGCAACAGCACTTGGAAGGATTTTAATGTTGGATCTTGTTATAAGAAATGAAGACAGGCTTCCTTCTCGGCATCTTGGATGGCGTGGGAACTCTTCAAATTTGCTCTTGGCCGAAAAAGTAGCTTGTGCAAATATTCATGCCCTCGAGGTGGCTTTTGATTCCGCAATCAAGAGATATAGACCAAAAGTAATCAGAGCACTTCAAAAAGAAAGGAGGGCTACTTCAATAGACAGTAGATTGGGCTCCCCTGAAGCAGTATTAGTACCACAAAGTTCTGATGTCTCTGAAATTACTGAATCTCCAAAATCTAGCAACATGAGCCTGAAAAGTTTCTCTATAAATGATTCAATCCCTTGTGATTTACATATTGTGGCTATAGACTCTGGGGTGCCTCGAAGACCACCAGCTGGGAAACGCACAAACGATCAGGCAAACTATCCCAAGCTAGTTGAACTTCTCATCAACAGTTCTGAATATGCATCTGAATTGTTGCATGAAATAACTGGAGGAAAATTAGGGGTTACTCCAGAAGGTGCAACAACTGATTTTCGTGAAGCTGAAATGGCCCCAATTGTGCATGCATTCAGAAGTGGATTTCGAGCAGCACTCAGGGACCTACAGGGATTTCACATTTTTCTTCTTACCCTTCACCAAAAGCTAGAAGGCCTATTGCGAGTATTTCTCAATATTATTAACAAATCATCTTGTGGGGATATTGACAAAGAGGATCTAATGGCTCCTGAAACTCCATCACAAGCTAGAGGACCAGAGGTTCATTGCCCATCCTCACCCAGCAAAGATCGTACCGTTGGTGATAACACATCAGATTTAAATGATTCAGAATCACATAAAACAACTTCAAAGCCACCAGCATCAGGATTCAGGGAAAGTTTAGATGGCTGCTCTCCAATGTCACGGGAAAGCTGGCAAGGTAAGTTCAACAAGGGGAGTGCTGAACCCTTGCGTAGTGCAAAGTTGACATCAAAGCTGCGGGATTTCCACAAATATGCGAAGGTGTGTTTGAACCTTGATTATGTAATGTTATATTTTAAAACATAAAATTGCTTACGTTTGTCATGAGAATTGATTGCATAAGGTTGACAGCACATTGGCATATTCGGAGATTATTTGCCTATTGGTTTGATTAGGTTTTAAACGTGTAACAGCTAATATTAAGCTTATGTAATAAATATTTCACATGTTTCAAGGTTGAATATATTTCTTTTTTTCTGACATCCTTATTCTTTGTGGTCGCTTTTATCACATACAAAAACTAGTTCTTTTCTCTGAATTTACTCTGCTGAGTTCGACAATCAGTTTTACTTGGAAAATAATGTCTTGTTTGTTTTGCTTCTGCCAGCTAGAAATGGTTTCACGGAACTGTGAATGACTTTTCTGTTAATGCAGTCTTAAGACAAATAAATAGAAGAGTTTCATTCATTGTAATAGCTGTAGTTTTTCTGTTGTATCATGTTAAACAATAATCATGTCTCTCGAACTATTAAGATGAACTATGTATTTGACATATGATTGCTTCTTTATGATTCTGTTTCAGGTAGATGCAGAATTGAGCAAAGAGTTGGAACAATGGAATGATATGCTTAAAAATGAAGTAATTAAACTCTGCCAGGAGAATAATTTCAATCCTGGATTTTTTGAAGGTAGTGATAACAATTACGTGGTTGATGCTTATGAGTTGAAGGTATGGATTCCGTTATAAGCACAAGTAGGTAGTCCCTCTCCGTATCTCTCATTAAGAATGACCTAAGAGTTTTCTTTCTTAAATGTCATAATTATCAGGTTAGGCTTGAGCACATTCTGGAGAGGACAGGATTCATATCTGATGCAGCAAACACAGAGAGGCCATCTCCAATCTCCAGCAATCTGTTTATTGGTGGAGCACTTGCCGCTAGATCTGTTAACACTCTACAGCTTCTAGGAATTACACATATTTTATGTCTATGCTCAAATGAAATTGGACAGGAGGATTCTCAATTTCCGGATTTGTTTGAATACAAAAATTTTTCAGTAAGTGACTTGCTCAACATTTCTTTCAGCTCTGCCATTCCTGAAGCTTGCACACTTACTACTGTTTTTATGCTCTGTCCCGCTTTCATTAAGGCATGTTTAATTTATTTGATTATATAATCTTCGGGTTATAAATTGCAACATAACACTCCCTTACTGATTGAAGTAAACATTCCCTTAGGAAATATTTAAATGATTATTTAATCTTAGGATTAAAGTAGCACTACCTTAATGTGTGTTTAAATGTATATTAATCTTTATGTGTAATTTATAGTATAAAGATTAAATTATTATCTGAAGTAAACGCACCCTAAGGCTTTATTTAATCCTTGATAATAAAATGCTATGTTTGCAGCTTACTCATTCACCCCCTTTTTCATGTGGTTGCAATGTTTGTGTGACTGATTATACATGTTCTTACAAATTATATTATATTTTCGAAGAGAAGGATGACCACTAAGATTACAGGATTTTGCATTAGGCTTCCATCTGCAGTAAAATGCTAATGACTAAAACATTGTTATCTGTTAATGTGAAACACACAGGTGAAGATAACTGAGACTATTATGTCAATTTTTGACTTGTCATAAATAACTTACTTTGTTGAGTTCCTTAACAACATTGCCCTTCTTATTGAACAGATATGTGACAATGAAGATTCTAACATCAGTTCTATTTTCCAAGAAGCACATGACTTTATCGATCATGTTGAGCAAATAGGAGGAAAAGTATTGGTTCATTGCTTTGAAGGGAAGAGTAGGAGTGCAACATTAATTCTTGCTTATTTAATGCTGAGAAAGTAAGTATATGGTGCTGCGGCAAGTAACAATCTTTTTCATCGTCAATATATACATTTCTGTCTACTGCTCAATCCACTGTACCCTAGTGAATACGCTTTCTGTTTTCAAGTGTCCATATCTACAGTAGTTTTACAGATAATATGAAAACATGGCGACAGTTATTGTTTCTTTTAATTCTTATTGGTTGGACAGCTATAGATGAGACAAATTTAATTACCGTTGAAAACAAGATTCATCTATGAAGGCTGTTTTTGATGCAGAAACTTCACCCTACTGCAAGCTTGGAACGCCCTAAAACGAGCTCATCGTAGAGCCCAGCCTAATGATGGTTTCGCAAGGATTCTTTTGGACTTGGATCAGAAGCTACACGGGAAAGTTTCTATGGAATGGCAACAACGCAGGCCATTGATGAAGGTTTGTCCTATCTGTGGCAAGAATGCTGGATTGAGCAGCAGTTCTTTGAAACTTCATTTGCAGAAAGCTCACAAGCAACTATCTTCAGGCAGTGTGGACAGCGCCATGAATATGGAAATACAGAAGGCAATCGATGCGCTCAAAATAAGCCGAGGTGGGAGCGTCAGCCCCACGCAAAGACAATCTCCTACGATGACAGAAGAATGAATGGCTAATCCAAAGCTACGCGTGAGGTGAGGTATGTATCCACTTCTTTGTATCCATGGTTTTGGTTTAGTTCAGCTTAGTTTCTGAGTTCTGACCATGGCGTCCATTAATTTCTGTGCAAATTTGTATCCCTAACTAGAAACTTTCATGTTCTTGTAGTTTGTTAGACACCTGAAAATCTTTGGTATTTATTAGTGTTAGTCTGATTTAAAAAAAGTTGCATTATAAATATTACTAATAAATTGTTTAATTGACTTGTTGTAATTGTCGATTCAGATTACATTTTGTTTCTATTTTGACTACATTTAATTTAGAAATGAGTTGGGATTTTTTTTTTTCTTTTTTTCCAGTGGCTGTAGTTGATTGCTTAGCAACAAGAATTATTATCTCATATCCAATATAAAGAAACAAGCTAGTATAACATCTGAGATTATTCAGAGGCAAGTCACACTAGGCTGTAGCAGGTGATCTGAAGCATCGGGGGTATAAACCCATGACCTCATGGTCACAAATCCAACTCCTACACCACCAGACCATCCCTTACGGGACGCAATAGATGTCTCTTTAATGTATATATAGTTGTCACACTTATCTATTTTAAATCCATTTGTTAACGTATATTATCAAATTTCCAATAGCACTATCAAATTTCCAATAGCACTATCAAGGTCTTTATTTTATTCCATAGAGGGATTTTATCAATGTACACACTTTGCCTAAAGTAACAAACTCTTTATGATGTTCTATGTACATTTCATCTTCAAATTCATCATTTTAAAAGATGCTGTTTGGTGAATCTTGAAAATGTGTCTAGCAACACTTGAGAGAAACACTCGAGTAGGTATTATTCTTATTATAGGTGAATATGAATCAAGAAGACAATTGTTATTTTTACATGATGAAATTTATTTCATGTTAAATACTAGCAATATTTTTCTTTTCTTACATCGTAGTTTTTTATTTCGGAGTTTAAAATTGACTTGGATCTTAGAGTTTAGGATAGATATTTTTAAACAATATTGCATTTGTTAATTTAATCATAGTTGCTTCCATCGTATAAAAAATACTTAACTTATGAATTATGATCCGATAGACTATACTATATAGCACACTCCAATAAAGTTATACTCTACTATTTTAGGCTAATACCTATTTGTTTAGAAGGTGGAACTTTTACTTTTACGAAACACCCATATTGTTTTAAGTATTCATAAGAGGAATTTTCATTTACATACTTTAAGTTACATTCTTACTTTTTAGTGGAATTTTATTCATAATAGAATATATAGTTAGCACTGCCCACTCCTCTCTCTATTCCAAATTTTTTTGGATAATGCTAAACTAATATTCACAATCTATTTAAATGTTCAATTTTTTGCATGCAACAATATCAGTAGATTGGGATGAGTAGGGATCCATTATTTGATGTAGTACTTTTGTTAATTTTAAAATGGTATTATATACAATGTTGTCACCGGGTCGCCTAGGTAATGCCTTAGCGTCCTGGCAGTGATGGTTCACCGCAGGGCAGCTCGCCTCGCCGTTTGGCGAGGCCGGCGCCTGGCGTCGCCAAACGGCGAGTTTCAGGTCATAGTCCGATTCGGTCCGGTCCGAAATAGACCTGAACCGGGGTTTTTTTTTTCCTCTACTTGCAAGGTAGAAACTGCTGCAGTTTTTCTCCTCTCTCTTCTCATTTTTACTAAAAATAAAATATTTATAAAAGATTATGCATTAATTTATTAAAATAAAAGATTTTATTAGAGTTTTAATAATAATATGTTAATATTTGGTATTTTGATGGAGATATTTAGTAATTTAAGATTATAAATTTGTATTTTTATTATATTCTTTATTTGAAACTAGTGATTTAAAGTTATAATTTTGTATTATACAATAAAAATTATAAATTTATAATAGATAAAACGCCAAATCGTCGCCACGGCGGGCACCGTGTCGCCTAGGCGATGTGGCGGTCCGGTGGCGCCATGCCCGAAACTTCGCCGTTACAACATTTGCTATATATTCTCCAATTTATTACTTTAAACAACTTTAGTACAATTAATTTTTACTATCATTCTTGATTTTTTTTAGGCTTTTATTTTTGCTTTTACGTTTTCTTAATAGGTAAGTGTAACAATATTTTATGCAATTATTTATAAAAGTGAACATATATTTTTTCCAAATCTAGTTTACACGTGTCTGTAATTTACACGTTGGTATAAATTGATTTCAATAGCATAATATTTCTTTCAATGGATAGAAATGGTAATTTAACTATTTTTGCTTCCACGAAAACTTCATAATTGTTTTTTTTATTTACTTAATATTTAGTATATTCAGATTTATTAATCTTTTTATAATATTTATATCTTAATTTTAAATTTATAAATAAAAAAAAAAACATCCAATAAGATATGACAAAGAATTATCATTATTATTATATATAGTAATGCTCAGTAAGCAACCATTATATTCAATTTGAACAAACCCTTATATATTGATAAGATAAACTTATCCACTACAAATGCTAGTTTGAACTAATAAGAGCTTCATATGAGATTCTTTTGAATGTTAGGTATATATATAGAACATCAATCACAGTTAGTTCTTTTTCCGTTCACCACCATTATTCTAATTTTTTTTTTTTTTTTTTTTTTCACTTTGAAAGATTTAGATTGCCCATTTACAATTTCATTTCCAACATGGTTGGGTTCGTATACTATGATAACAAGACCATCACCATTGAGGTTTTTGATCAATTTCATGGTGTGTCTTGAATATGTGGAAATTTTGATTGTTGCTTGTTTTATGACGTCTCTTGAATATGTGGAAATTTTGATTGTTGTTTGTTTTCCATAGTCTTTCACCATATGAACTATTTTTTCACAATTAAAATTTTACTTGTTTATTTTGATTTGTGCGATCTTACATTTGCCTTTGTTAACTTGTGTTGTGTGATGATGCTTCTTGAAAGGTATCCTTGCCAAGTTTAATTCCTCATTTTTTGGTATTATGTTGTTCTTTATTGTTCTCTTTAATTTAGGTTTAGACAAGCAAATCTTCGAGGTCCAATTTGCTTCAACCTGTACTTTAGTACGTGCTTGACATTGATTCAACTTGAAGACAACTTTTTTACCATCACATTTATGATAAATTTTTTAGGTAGCCACATGTTTTTGTTGATGATAGAGTGGATTGTATGTTGGAACTCTTCCACTTGTTCAACAATCCCACGACCATCCATTATTTTATAACTCACAAACTTGGCCACAAGAAAATATATCTGACCCAAAATTTTCTAATCTATATATCTCTTAAGAACAATTTGATAGTTTTAATCTTACAATACACATTATATAGAGTGTTTAGAAATACTAACTAGAAAAGTGTATCGGGCCAAATCATGGGCCATGGGCCCATGATTTGTAGTTGGGGGGGTTCGGTAGTGTATGCTAGGCTCAAGAGTTGTTAGGTAGAAAAGTAGCTTCTTCAATTATATCTTGAAGTTCATGTCGATGAACAGTTGGACACTGGAACTTTGAAGTATCATCCCTCGGTGCATAGTTAATAATGTCGTTTCGGAGTTAGTTAGGTGAATCATTTTGGACTGTAAAGATTGTAGATGGAAAATAAAAATGCTTGATAACTTTCTAAAACCACCTAGAGTGTTAATTCAGTAAAATCATTGGAAATGGTGGGAACCGAGTTGGTATAAGGCCGATTTGAGTGTTAAGGGCAACAATGGAAATGACAGAATTTTGAGTGGTGAACCCTAGAGGAATTATTGGGGTTTCATCTGTAGATGGAGAATTTAATTGCTTTTTTTTAAAAGTGGATGTACAACTTATTAAATTATCATTATAATATAAAAGTTAAATAATAGTTGTTCCTTAGCCGTGACAATTATGCACAAATTGTAGTGTTTTAAACATATGTGACTATAATAATAATAATATTCATATAAAAAATCTTTAGTCATCAATACCTAATTACAATTTGAATAAGGAATGTGTTTGAAGAAGAAATGAATTTGTCTTGCAAAGTTATAGTCTAAATTAAAAAAAAAAAAAAAAATTGAAGAAATTGTCAAATTGATATTCAAATACATATACGGTTGCGGATAGAATAGAAAATTAATATATTAAATAAATAATTAATTTTTAAAAAAAATAAAAATGAAACTATCCTTGAAGTAATTATAAAAAGACATTTGTAGATAAAATTTGCTATTTGGATATTTGAATTGAACAATAAAGAAATTAAATTATCTATATATATATATATATATATTTGTATAAAAGTTGCCATGGGAAATTGAAGAAATTCAGCATCATTAGTAGAGGTAAATGTAAAGTTTTCTTCAATAGTAATACTAGCAAATTTTTTATGGACAAATGATGATTCTTGTAATAAAAGAATAATTTGTTTTACTATTGATGAAAATAAAAAGACTTGAGAATATAATACTTCAATAAGAACTATTGAAAATATTTAAAGTTTTTGTGAACTAAAAGAGGCGGGAATCAAGCAATGCTAGAAATGTTTGAGAAAAAGTTAAAAAAAAAAAAAAACTTTTTGAAAAACTCAAGGAATAAAAAGAAAAGATGATCGATGTTGTTGACCTTAGCCGTAATGTAAATCTTGTCAAATGACAAAATATCGAATAAGAGTGAGACAATAAACCAGGAGAGAAAATGTAAAATATATATAAATATAAACAAGGAAAAAAATAAAAAATAAAAATATATAAATGAATAAATAAAAGACACACATCATTCTATCTACAAAAGTGCAACAAATAATGAAAATTTAATAATGAAGCCAAAACGTATCGTCAAAATATTGAGACTTGGGATTGGATTAGCTAGAATTAATCCCATGCATAAATAAGTAAATAGCTATGCAAGTTAATTTTGCAAATTCACTTAGAGGAAGTTATGGTTGGAGTAAACTTATCGTAGCAATTGCATATTTAGAGTTAAAATTACATAAATTGAGTTGATTGGTTAGAGATGTCTTAGAGCATCCCTAATAACTTTATAGTGCAATGTAAAAAATAATTTACAGTAGAATACTTCAATGTAAAAAATGAGGCTTTTCTTTTAAAATGGTCATACATATAACTTTTTTGTAGAGAAAAAAGAAAATCGAAAAACTTAAGAATAGCTTGGTGCAGACGAAGGCCTGTGCAAGTTTGGCACGGTCCCTCTTTCTCTTTCTTCCTCTCATCATTTCTCTCTCTATTCTTTTTTCTGAATGTTCGGTTTTCCTATTTGTTAAATAAAAATGATTGCATTGTATTTTAAAGTTTTAGACAACTTCGAACTAAAAAAATTTGGACATATCAAATTTTAGAGATTTTTTTTAGAGTAAACACCAGTTGTTCCAAGCATTTTTTTTTTTTTTTTTTTCAATATTACGCTGTGACTATTAAAGATTTGGGGGAATTGCAAGTAGTATAGTTGGTTTTAGTTCAATTTTTTTTTTTTTTTTTCATTTTCTGTTTTGCTATGAAGTGATTGATTGCATTGAAATTTGCAATTTTCATATAATGATTCTTTGATGTGCAAAATATAATGTTGTGTTTTAATTTTTTATGTCATTTTCTTTTTGTTGATTATGCCGCTTAGATGACTTGGTATTGAAACACTTCTTGTACTTTTTATTTTGACACTTTGATTGTTACTCCCTTCGTTTCACATACCATGTTCACGTTGCCGTTTTTGTCCGTCCCACATTCCATGTCATTTTTCTTTTTTTCGGAAATGATTACACCCTTTAATCTCATTTTAAACTTTTTAATTTATATTTTTTTTAATTTAATTAAACTAATTAGTTATCTTAATCTTAATTTATAATTATTTATATTATAATATAATTATTTTCAGTAATACATTCTTAATTATCTACTAATTATACCCCTTCTAAAATACAGTGTCTACAGTGTAGCAGACAAGGTATATGAGAAGGAGGAGTATTATTTTGTTTGGTAAAAATTAAAATATCCTCTATCATTTAAAAATATTATTGTCTGGTTATTTGGTTATCTAGAACATTTAATGTTAAAAACAATGTAGGGGAGTGTATTTGTAGTTTTTCTTTCAAAGAATCTTTTTTTCGAAAGTAAATTATATAATACATTTTTGTGTTTTAATATAAATGCACAAAAAACATGTGGTAAAAATCTAACTATGTTAATTGAAGTGGACACAACATCATTTTTGTCCAAAACTAATATTTAATTTTAAACAAGCACCTAAGTATAATTGATAATCATGATTAATAATCCATATATGTACAAAAGTTTCGAAATTATATGCTCCAACTGGAAAAATGCAATGCAATGCCATGATAAGAATCAACAATGTGATGTAGCTACCTGCAACTTCTTCTTGCTCAGGTTCTCCTCCTCCTCTGCAACTGACAACAGTTCTTCAATGCTTCCTGGATTCAGGCGCTCGACCTCCTCTTTTGTCAGGATTAAGATCTTCCGAACCATCACACAAAACTCCCTGTTTTCAACAACCGCCAAAATTATTCATCTATTTTGTTTTGTAAATTCAAATTCAGTATGAGAAAGAAGAAGATTGATATCATACTCCCATGGATCATCTCCAACAAGCATCATATCATCCTCATCATCCGTATACACGACAACCCAATTCCCGTCTCGTGCCTCCAGTTCACCATTAAATTCAAAGAGATTGTCTAATTCAGCAATCAGCTCATCGTAGTTGTCAAACTTGGAAAGATCCAAAGACCTGCCCAGGGACATCCCCTGCTTATGAACCTGGAAAACAGCAAATGCAACGTATATGCCTGTAAAACTTCACATTAACGACATCAAAATAAGTGATCGTAGATCATAGATGAGAAGAACCTTCGTACAACTCCTTGCGGATCCTGAATGAACTTTGTCCTCTCTGTCTCTAGCAAGAGTTTGCAAGATTTGGAATCTGTTATCCTGTTCGCCCACGGCTGAACTATTATCCACCCATTTTGGATCATCAGGCCGTTGATCAGACTTTCTAGTTAGGAAGTTTAAAACCATCTCACGATGCCTACGATGCAATGGCTCAATGTGATTAGTTTTGTTTGAACACTCTGGCAAAGTGTTGTTTCTAAGGGGAATACCAAAGAGCTTGCAATTTCCTTCCTCAAACTTCATAGCATCCTGTGGTTGCGCCATTACAGACTTTAACATTGCTTCTCCCGGCTGAGCAACTGATAGTTGAAGGCATTGTGAAACATGTGGATCCATAAACCTATTCTGCTGCTGATTGTCGCCTCTCAAATCAGAAATTAAGGAGAGTTCTCTAAAAGCACCGTAACTCATATCCCCCCTAGCACAGAAAGGAGTGCCGGCACTTTGTCCATGAGTTTTTAAGCTGGAATCTGCGAGGCTAAGGGATAGACCAGGAGTTGGCATAGAGATTTTACAGAATGTATTTATTTGTGATCCAAAAGTGGATATCAGATTTACGGACGGAGACTTGACCCTTTCCATGAGTGATGTTTTATTTGCTCTGCATCTTTTTGAAGAGTAGTCAATCTTCTCACTATCTGCCGAAACACTCAACAATAATGCCTTCTTGGATGACTCTGACTCATCGCTCCTGGCAAGTACTCCTCTCAAAGTCGACACTTCTTCGCCTTGAAAGACCCTTGAAAACCCACATGCAGGAATGACTGTTCTCGATGGACCTACAATAGATCAAGTGGGTCCTCAATACCAGCCAGAGGATAACAATATGGCAGCAACTTGTATTAGGAAGAATAAAGTTAATGACAACCTTCCTTAGTAAGAACAGAAGAATCAGGGGATGGGGGCAGAACATTTGAACGATGCCTTTTCTGTCTGGGAGCTGCCTGTTGATTCAGTGCAGGGGGAGAAAGAGCAGGTTCTATTTTCCATGGCGAAACTCTGTCAGGTCGAGGAATTGTCGAAATTTCATCCCATCTCACCTTAGCATAGAATCAAGGATAATTTATGAGCATGAAAAGTAAAAAAGACCCTGTATCATGAGACACTTGTGTTGCATTAGAGGTGATACCTTTAGGCATCTCCATTTTGACTCTGGCCAGTTTTTTGAATCTGCAGCTTCAATACCAACAATAGTTCCAGTGAACCTACGAAAAAGCAAAAATAAGAAAATAAATAAAGAAACTAATAATTTAGTTTTCTCGGCTACAAGAAAGGTTAGTATTGTATGCTGTGATTTTAGGATGCCAATACACTTACCTTTGCTCTGGCACTTCTTCGCCTTCAAATCTCATTTTGAATCTCATTCCTATAAAATAATTGCTTTTGAGAGACTCCATGTAGCGATCATAAGGAACAATAAACTCTGCCGGACTAGTCCTGTCAGATGGAGGAAAAATATTGAAGTGCAGTTAGAACCATGAGGGAAACAAAGTTAAGGATTTGTTAAGTTGTATCTTCTCTTATTTGTACACTATACATCTATAGTAACCTATATTTTTCATCCAAAAATATGGCATCATGTATTTAATTTAGCTTTTCATAAATTACAAATAAAATTTATTTTTATTCAAAATATTATATCAAATCTATACAATCACATCAAACAAATTTAATTCAAATTTTTTACTAAACCTAAAATATACCAAAACATCAAAATACAGTAACAGCGTCTAACAGCTAAGCTGGAGTTAAGAGGTGTCAATTCTGTGATGCAAGAGTCGAAACCCCCTGAGATGGGGAGGGAATAAATCATTTCCATACCTAGGTTTGTAATATACTGTGAACATGGTTTTGGTCTGAACAGCATGCCAAGCTGTCGCAAGAACACCAAGATGCATGTTGCGGCTCGATATGACAGATGATGTCATATTGTTCTGTTGTCTCATGGCCCGCCTAACTCCAACTCGCAATTCCCCCTTCTCCCCTCTGTAAGTAGTGTACAACATGTTATTAAATATCAATCTTTTACTATTATCATGCATACAAGTTAAGGCACCAAAAGCCAACATCAAACCTTAAGAATATAAATGCATCGCCAGCAAGGAGCCTTTTTGAGCTAACAAAGACACTCCAACCACTCTGGAGAAGATGCCTCCGTGGCTGACCTGAAATTCAGACAATAATGGAATTGCCGGATAGCTTTCTTAATGCAACAAACCTTTTATACTGGAAAGATTCTCCCAACTTTTACTGGTTTTTCTTTTTAGTCCATGTTTGTATTTTTGCTATAATAGTTGTTGTCACCATACAAAAAGAAAGAGAAACATATAAATTCTAGCAAAAAACATAATTCTTTAAGAAACTCGCAATCCACTAAACGCTATCTCATCAAGGACTACTTCCCTGCCTAGTTCGAAGAAGCTATTCAATATATTGGAATTAATAGGAGATTTAAAGCCAAATTTCCTGTATCAATCGTCAAGACTATCCACCACACGATTATTGTATCTAAATGTTATGCATATAAATATATGTATGTATGTATGTATAGCGCAAGAATTATCTAAGACAAATTATCTAACAACGGATAACAGTTTCACAACATATAACACCAAGTCACAAGGGAATATTCCTAAGAAAATATAGCTTCCTAACTCTTGGTTTGAGTCAAGTAGGCCATACATCATTTCATATTATAGAGAATACTGCCATATCGAAACAGTTATATCCACAAAATTACCACGAAAAATATGCCTGAATCTCCATTCATTTCCATGCAAATCTTGGGCCACTAATTCTTGAGTGGGTGGATGCCTTGACATGTCCTGTGATCAAATACAACCCGAGAATCACTACACTACAAAGATAACAGAAAGAGGTATATACAAACTACAGTGAGATTCATCCAAACCAGTGGAGGTAGACATTCATCGGCATGTCGTCTCAGCACCGAGAATCCACCATGAGTGCTTGTATCTGAAGCTGTAAGAGTCTTACAAAAAGAACGGACATGAAATCGAGGAGGCGGCTCCAGAGAAAGATCTTTTTTCACTGCATTCTCATCTTGCTGCGCCATGTTCGGAATCATGTAAGAAATTTCATCCGAAATTAGAATAAAGGAAAAGTTGATAATTAAACTTAACCATACATTAGGCAACGGAATCAAAGTAACTTGAGCATAGACCTCATCTGTGTCGACTTCAGCCTGCCAAACAGCAAATAAATAACAATTAACTCATAAAGCCCTAACACTATATAGCAAACCTACAACAATAGGTCCCTTAATTTCAAGGGAAAATCAACATATACCTTCAAATTAACATTAGCCACTCTGCAAAGAATCTTGGGAGGAAGATTGTAGATAGGCACATGCTGGTCTGCAATTTGGTCAGTAGATGCCTCCACCTATCCAATAAAACCACCCACCAAACAATAAGCATAACTGCATAAGCTAGTTTTTGTAGGTAAGCGGGGCTCTTCACAAAACACAGCCATGGCAGGATTAAACTTGAATTCAGTAAAAATAAAAGACAAATTTATTAGGATCTCATTGATTCTTCCGTTACAACACTCAAATTAAGAAACGAAATCAATTCTAAATCACTTGGAATGGTCACGAGCTTCAAATATCTCCTCCCAACTACAAAACCTGGTTGAAGAAGGTTAAGAAGAAGAAGAAGAAACCTGTTCAATGTGGCCCTGAGGAAAGTACAAAACAAGATCGTTTTCACGAGGCACCGTCACCAAAGGTCCCGCGCAAGCCTTCCAGAGCTCTGCGTACAGCGCCATATCCGCTTCCGCTAATGAGTAAAGTAAAAAACCAGCAAAGCTTAATCCCAAAGCAAAAGACGAACAAAAAAAGTAACCGAAAGCGTGACGCAAAAGTACCTCTCCCGGCACCGCCGGAGCTCTCCTTATCCGGCCCGGAATTGCACTCGCTGTTCTCGTTGTAACCCTCGATCGACCCCACGGAGGCAGACATTTCTTCAATCGAATCAAAGCCCACAACACGTCAAATGAACAGAAAAGGTAGAGATTCAGACAGCTGTCCCCGCTTCCACGAAAGAATTGATAGTTCATATGTGTAACTGCCTGGTGCAAGCATATCGTGGGAGATATTTATTGGATCAATATTTGGAGCTTCCTCGACAAGCATATCTTCTCTAGTTATGGGGAGGAGCTAAAAATGGGTATGGAGCGCGATGAACAGACAGACAGAGGGGAGTCAAAGAAACGGCAGTGTGGAAGGATTGTGGAAACTGGAAATGGTTGGTCACAAGGTTCCATTCCCACCGTACTGCGAATGAAAAATAAAAAATAAAAAAAATAAAATTCCGATTAAAAAAATTAAAAAAAAATAAAAATAAAATTTATTAGGTCTGATCCGGGTTTACTGTATATTTCTACGTCATAAAAATAAAAAAATAAAATTTATTACATGGGACCCACACCGCTGATCTGTGCAAATCCATTCAGGTGGATTTTGAACCCGTGGAAATGTCCAGGCTGAGTTTACCTTTGTATTTTTTAAATTTTTTGGTATTATTTAATAATAATAATTTCTTCAAAATATAAAAGCCAAGAAGATGGTACAAAATACTCCCGTCTCAAATAAGGTGTAATATTTATTTTCGGTATGAATTTTTAGGTAGATAGTATTAAGTAGGATAATTTAAAAATTAAGTGATACGATGGAGAGATAAATATATATTTTATTTTTTTATTTGGATTATGTGAGGAGATAAAGTGTGGGGGTAGAAATTAAATATAATTAATTATTTTCTATTTTGAAAATGTTGCAACGGGACATTCCAAAAAAAATGTTGCAGAATATTTGGGACGGAGGGAGTATTTTATTAAATATTTTGTATAATAAATAATATATAGGCAAGTATAAGTATATATATATACTAGTACGCTTACGAATTAGGTCACGTTGGTGCTTGTATATATATACATTGTCTATATTTTTTTATATAGTTAAATTATCGAATATTTTCAATTGAAAAAAAAAATAAAATAAAAACAATACACATAACTACAAATAAAAAAAAAATTTGGTATTTATATTATTAAATTTGAAAAAAAAAATTACAATTAAAATAATTTTTGATATTATATTATTAAAGTTGAATCGTCTCTTCTAAATCAATCATTCTAGTAACTTCATAAATATTTGTTATTTATTTTTATTTTTTTAAAAAATCATACTATATAGAAAATTTAATTATAAATATATTATTATTATTATTACAAAATACACAATTTTGCCATAATCAATTAATTTAAAATGCACCAGCACAGGTTCTTCCCAATTCTTTCCTTTCTTCTTTATCGGCCATCTTCGGTCCTCTTCCTTTTTCTTCTTTACTCCTCCTATTTCTTCTTCTTCATCTACTCTACTCTATTGCGTCTGTCTCATGCTGACGGTCAAAATTATATATAAAAAAAGGTCGTTTCTGCCATTTACAAACAATCGGTGAAGGTGAAACAAATTTTGCATCCTCATTTGCAAACAACCAGAACAAATTTTGCATCGTATTTTTCTTCTTCTCCACCTACCCTGATCTATTGTGCTTGCGCCATGATGTTCTGGTGTCCAGCAGATTTAAAAAATAAAAAAGGTCGGTTAAGACCTTTGCAAACAATCAGTGAAGCGCGTTAGGTGAAACCAATTTCGCATAAGCATTTGCAAACAATCAAATCAAAGAGATGACAAAGTTATCGGGCAATCACACTCAAATCTAAATCGGTCATTCTCGTAACCTCAAAATATTTGTTTTTCATTTTTATTTTTTTAAAAAATCATATTATATAAAAAAATTTAATTATAAATATATTATTATTGTTACAAAATACACAATATTGCTCTAATCAATTAATTTACTCAATATTTCTCTTCTTTTTTTTTTCTTGCTTCCTAATTCTTTCCTTTTTTTTTTTCCATCGGCCATCCTCGGTCATCTTCGTTCTTCTTCTTTACTTTCCTCTTTCTTCTTATTCACCTACCCTACTCTATTACGTATGCACCGTGATGTCATGGTGACAGTCAGATTTTTAACCCTAAACCACAGGTTCAACGACAAATTGGTGAACCGCATTAAGTGAAACCAATTTCGCATCTTCATTTGCAAACAACCGGGCCAAAGAGATGTCAAGTTACATTCTCTTATTGCAATCACACCCAATTCTAAATCGGGCATTCTCGTAATCTCATAAATATTGTTATTTATTTTTATTTTTAAGAAAATATTCATAATATATAGAAAATTTGGTTTTAAATATATTATTATTATTATTAAAAAAATACATAATTTTCCCGAATCAATTCATTTACACAATTACGCAGCCGCACTAGGTTCTCTTATTTCTTTTTATTCGCTAATTGCAAATCCAAACTCATTTTCACAAAAATCAAACCCAATTAAGAATCAATTACAAACGAGCGCAAAATCAAATAAAGCAACCTAATTTTTACCAAAAAATGGCGTGGAATCAAAATCAAAGTCAAAACGATGATACAAAATAGGTACTCCCCAATATATGCATCCCTACAGGCAATGAGTGAGTTCAGAGTTTTACCAACCTTGATTTTTTTTTGTTTTGCGTGCCCAAAAAATCCCAAAAATCCTACTATCATTTCTGAAGCATTTCTTTCTAAATCGTAACATTTGATTTTTCTAATTAACTTATTGTATTGATAAAAACTGAGGTAGCAATTGACAATTTTGGACATACTTCCCCTATAATATTATCCTTCGAAGAGTTGGGCAAAACAATAGCACCCACTTGTACCTATAAAAAGTAATGGTAGATAAAGTAATTCATGTAGTCATCCGTATGCATTCTCATATATTAGTGTTCTTAGATATATATGAATGTATGTCGTATATATATATATATATGTGTGCATGTATGATGATAATGATGAAGAGATGTGTGTATATGATGCGATTGTGTTAAAATTATTATAGGTGTGTAGTGAAGTAAATAGTGAGAGACAGAGAGAGAAATACTAATGTGGTGTGTTTATTTTATTTCATTTCAATATAGGTAGGGGTAATACAAAATACATGGCTAACAATTGTACTACGATTTTCGACGTAGTTGATTCATGTCATGATAAATAGCATTCACGGTAAGTCTACGTATTAGTTATGTGTATCTAATACTTTCTTTTAGATACTTTTATACGAAAAATGTGTCTCGTTAAAGTCTTACCAAGAAAAAATCCTGTGGAAAAAAATCTTAGTAAATGAAAAAAAATACGACATTCTTGTATTAATGTACTTCTCATATTTTGGACTTTATTTGATGTCTTTCAGCCGACGCATTCCAATTTCTTGTACCAATTTGTTGAATATTGAAGTCGGTAGCGTCTTCGTAAATATATCTACAAAATTTTCAGATGATTGAATTTGTTGTACATTAATTTCACCACTCTTTTGAAGATCAAGAGAGAAAAAGATTTTGGGGATATGTACTTTGTCTGACCGTTTTTAATATATCCTTCCTTTAACTAAGCTATACAAGTTACATTATCTTTGAATAATGTTGTAGGAGGTAATACATCATCAGAAATCAAGCTACAATTTTTTCGAATATGGTGAGTCATCGACTTCAACCAAACATATTCACGACTGACTTTATGAATTGCTAAAACTAAGAGATTGCGGTTCCACCATAAGTAAATAAATAGCAAGTTTGAAATTTTTCTTTGTGTCGATCAAGCATATAACCAACATTAGAATAACCAATTAATTCGTTTCGAGATTCACTCGAATAAAATAAACAGAGATCATGAGTCCCTTAAAGATAACGAAAAATATGTTTGATACCATTTCAATGGCGCTTTGTGGGGGATGTGCTAATTTGGCTAGTGAATTTACTGAGAAAGATATATTTGGTTTGATACAATTCGCAAAGTAAAGTAGTGCACCGATAGACTAAGATATGGTACCTTTGGGTCAAGTATTTCTTCATTTTCTTCTTTTGGCCTAAATGGATCTTTATTGGGATCAAGGGATCTAACCACCATTGGTGTATTCAAAGAGTGAGATTTACTCATATAAAATTTCTTTAATACATTTTAGGCATATGACGATTGGTGGATAAATGTTCCATTATTCACATGATCTACTTGTAATCTCAAATAATATTTTGGCTTTCTAAAATCTTTAATCTCAAATTCTTTCTTTAAATATTTTACTGCAATTTGAATCTTTACGGAGTTCCAATTAAATTGAGATCATCAATATATATTACAATAATGACAAAATTTGATCCATTTTTCTTTATAAATACGCATGGGCATATTGGATCAATAGTATAACTTTCTTTTATTAAACATCCGTTGAAGGTTATACCACATTCGCCCTGATTATTTAAGTCCATAAAATGACGTTTTCAATTTGATGGAATATGATTCCTTTGGGTTTAATTTTTATGCTTCAGGAATATTTAATCCCTCAGGAACTTTCATTTAAATATCAGTATCCAATGAGCCATAAAGATATGCAGTAACTACGTCTATAAGACACATGTCGAGCTTTTCTCATACTACTAGGCTCACAAAAGTATCTAAATATTATTCCATCGACAACTGGAGAGTATGTTTCATCTAAATCTACTCCAGATCTCTGTGAGAATCTTGAGCTACAATACAGACTTTATATCTCATAATTTCATTAAGCTCATTTTCTTTTCGTACAAACACCCAGTTGTATTTCATTGGTTTTATATCATTTGGTGTTTGACAATTGATTTGAAGACCTCTCTTTTATTTAATGAGGCAAGTCTGATTAAATCGCATTTTCCCATTTTAGTGAGTCATTTCTTTGTCGATATTCATGAACCAATTTTGGCTCTGGATCCACATTTTCTTCCATTATATCAAGTCATAAATTGTATACGAACATATTATCAATAATTGTCCCTTTACGGTTCCAACATTTTCTTGAAATAACATAGTCAATTGAGTTTTCAATAATCTCGTCATATTCTTCAAGATCATGCTCTTCTTGAGAAATTATTTCAGGGTTGACTTCCTCATTAGATTGAGGTTTACAAATGTCAATCCTGATATTTTAATGATTATTATCATCCATTTCTCTTTTCTTTCGAGGATGTTTTTCTTTGGAACTGAGTGAGCTACCACACTTTAAGTGTGTCGCTGATATATTAGTACTTGTCATTTGTCCATCAGGGACAATTATTTTATCCAGAGCATTAGCGGCTTGGATATATGATCGAATGACTTTGTTCGAGTCAAAGC